CTTCTACACTGGACCTTGCAATGACAGCCTGCTTCTTGCTTCTCTATGTGATCAGGTTTCCTCTAACAAAAAACACAATAACTGAGGTTGATCTCCTGTCATCAAGGAAACCAGCCCAATCCGCATCTGTATAGCCTGTTATTTTTAAATGGCCATGTTTAGAAAATAAAATTCCTCTACCTGGAGCTGATTATTTTAAATATCTTAGAATCCGATGCACTGCTTTTAAGTGAGACTCCCGAGGGTCATGCATGTACTGACTCACTAAACTTACAGCATAAGCAATATCTGGTCTAATATGGGCATGGTCAATGAATCTCTCGACCAATCTCTGATACCTGCGAACATCAACTAAACTTTCTACTCTAGCTTGAAGCTTATGATTGGCTTCAATAGGTGATTCTGCAGGTTTGCATCCCAACATACCAATTTCTGTAAGGAGATCAAGGATGTACTTTTTCTGAGAAATAAAAATCCCTTTTTCTAACCTTGCAACTTTTATCCCAAGGAAATATCTCAACTTTCCCAAATCCTTAATCTCAAACTCCCTAGCTAACAAATTTCTCAAGTGAGTCATTTCTTCTTCATATTTACTTCTCTGATGTTTATGAACAGTTGTCAGTATCGCTCTTGATACTATACTAAAGAGAGCATCGCTTTACTAACTTTTCGAACATGTCTGGTGATTGTTTCAGCCTTTATGCACTTCTTCAGGCTTGCAACTTTTCCTCTTGGTTTTGTCACTCAATCCAGAGGTCATATTTCACTCTTCTTTCAAATCACATGTAGAAAAAGTATTTTTATCAAATTCGATGTATTCCTGTCACAAGATTGATGCACAGCAACAAATTTATTGTGTTATCTTGGCGGCAAATGTTTCCTGATAATCAACTCCATAAGTCTGACTGAATCCTCTGGCTACCAATCTAGCCTTGTACCTCTCAATTGAACCATCTGTCCTATGTTTAACTGTGAACACCCATTTACATCCAACTGGCTTCTTTCCTGGTGGAGGAGTTACAAGATATGTTTAACTGTGAACACCCATTTACATCCAACTGGCTTCTTTCCTGGTGGAGGAGTTACAAGATCCCATGTCTCATTTTTTGCCAACGCTCTGATCTTCTCAACCATTGCAGCCTTCCATTTTGAGTCCTGTAATGCCTCTTGCCAATCCTGCGGTATAGAAATAGAAGAAACAGACAAAACAAAGGCTCTATAAAATGGGAGATGGGATGTTTGTTGCATGCTTCTAACTTCCTTTTTCTAAGAGCAATAGGAATATCGGTTATTGTTCAGAAGGACTGGGATTAAGATTAGATCGAATCAATAGGAATTAAGGAAGATCACAGTTTTGTTTTTGTATCTTTAGGGACTAATTGGAAAGAGTACGGTTGATCAGGGTCTCTGCTCATTGTTGTTCTGTATTGCTCCGCCGTGTGTAGGTTTCAATCGGGGCTCTATTCCAATTCCTAGGATTTGGGTCGGTTGTTTCTCTTTTCTATCTATGTGCTACAGCTTCCCCTAGAAAGGAATGTATCCATCCTCTTCCATCTGATATTTTTCCCTTGAAGAGGTGACTGGGAACGGAAATAAGATGAACTCCGAAAGGGTAACATCCATATCACAAAGTATTTCTAGAAGAGATTGTAACACTCGTTCCTTTCTTGAGTGTAGAGTAACCAACAACACCCACTTTAGGGCTGGATGCTAATTTGCTTAGACCATTTGGATGACAGCAAAACAACCAAAGGACTTTGGGTTATATATAGAGTTTTTTTCCTTGACGACCTTCAATGGGTTTTAATTCTAAGTCGAAGAGGCAATGATTGATAAGGTAGCAGTCGTCAATGCTTCCCCCATATGGTTTTGGGATTCTTTTAGTGAACATAGGGACCTAGCTACTTTCAGTAAATGTCTTTTCCTTTTCGCTACTCCTTTTGAGCACTAGTTTGCACAACCTAGTTGATGTGTATATTCCCTTAGATCTATAGGTATGAATTGCATTCATGGTATTCTTACCTTATTCGTTCTTAGGATTTTACATGCGCATTCAATTGAGTACATCATTTTTATGGAAGTTTTCTGAACACGGAAAAAAGCTTCCATTTTTTTGTTTTTCATCAAATTAACTCAAGTCATCTAGTGCAACAATCAAATAAAGGTCACAACATCTATAACCGAGGAGACGTTTTAGTGGGGACCCAACTCTGAATGAATAGTGATTATTAATTGGAGAATAAGAATGCCTGGTGTGTTTGGCAAGTTCACAAGCATCACATACTAATGAATTAAAATCACATTTAGTAAACAAAGTGGGAAATAAACGTCCTAAAATAGAAAAAGAGGGATTTCCTAATCTCCTATGCCATTAAATAACTTTATGGGAAGGATTTCTAAAAGTTCCTAACAAAGCTTGATTAGTACCCGAATTTGAAAAACAAGAAATGTCATCCAATAAATACAATCCATCGCGCAAGCTACCACTGACAATCGTTCTCCCTGTATTCAGTTCCTGAAATATACAATGAGTAGGGTGAAAAGTTACTTTGCAATTGAGTGCTTTTGTGATTAAGGTAACAGATAACAGATTAATAGGAAATCTAGGAACATGAAGAACAAGGGAGAGTTTAATATTGGAAGTACAATCAATAGAACCTGTGCTAGCAATTGGTACTAAGGAGCCATCTGCAATGTGAATTTTATCTGTGCCTTGATACTTAGAATACGTGAGGAAATGTTTTATAGAGCCTGTTGTAGGGTTTTGCATTTTTTGCAAGAAAGGTAAGGAAAGCATTTACCTATTAAAAATTCTAGAGGTGCCAATCTGAGTTGAGGATGATCAAGCTGTGAAACATCGTTTGGGATTGATTCTCCTTATTGGAAAGCTTCTGCATAGTGGTTCCTAGCTTAAGGCTTCTATCAATATGTTTGTGCTGTGGTCTGAAGAACTGACCGCTTTCCTTCCACGGCCTTAGTTGTGGGGTCATGTATTTCCGCGAACTTCCTTAGTATGCCTGTTTTTTACCGCCAATCTCCAAAATAATTTATTTTATCTGGAACTGCTTTTTGCAGCATGGTATGTTCTCTTGCGCATTAGCAAATCAACCTTGCTTTGTCAATTGGTCAGATCGGGTGAACCCTTAATGTTCCTTCCTAGTTTCTTGCTGTACAGATGAGTTGCTTGGTCGGTAGATGGAAAAGGATCTCGTCAGACTTTGGACTCGAATCTGATCATATCGTTATTTTAGGGGCCAGCCAGATTCTACTTCAATTAACTTCTGAACTTGAGTCGCATCATCAGTACATCTTACTTGAAAGTCTTGATAATAATCCAATTCCTGCCATAACCCACTAAGTTCGGCAAAATACTGAGCGATAGTCAGATCTCCCTGCTCGGTTTCATGAACTTTCTGTTTGCAATTCATACCTCTGAGCATAGTTTCCAGTTTGTGAATACGTCTGTGAAGCAACAACCCATATCTTCTTAGCTGGATCAAGAAGCAAATATCCTTGGGAAATAGTTGGCTGCATGGAATTTATTAACTAAGACATAATAAGAGAATTCTCGGATTTCCACTTATTAAAGGCCAGATTTGTTGAAACTGGTTTCGTTGCTCCACCATCAAGGTATCCCTGCAAACCTCTAGCTTCAATGAATAATAAACAAGACCGAGACCGAGCCAGGTAGTTTGTTCCATCTAACTCCACTGGGCTAAGCCGAAGTGAGGGGTTCTCTTTCCGTCAACCATATCTTAAAAAAAAAAAAAAATTTAAACGGCAGCAGTGGTAAAAAAGGCAGCAGCAGTGGTGGAAAAGGGAAAAATTCCAAAAAAGGCAAAACCGGTTCTGAAGAACCAGTAGGTTTGAGTCGCCACACCAAGTCGAGGTCGCCGGAACAAGAATCGTGGATGGAGCTCGTCAGAAACAGCAGCATGCGCCGGCGTGTGAAGAACAGTTAGAATCTTCTAGAGGCGCGTGTGCACACGCGTGTGGTTGGACGGCGACGCGGTTTGGACGGAGTGCCGATCGGTGGTCGTTCTTCCTTTTGAGATGGGCGGTGACGACTAACTCCCACTTCCGGCGGTGTTGTGTGTATCTCAGACCACTTTGCAAGCTGAAACCGTTGCCAAAAAATTCACGGCAATGGCTGATACCATATAGAAATTAAAGGAAAGAATATGTTTTATTTCTTTCAATTGTGTTATATTTTTCAACCTCTACTCCACTATATATATACAAAAAAATGTTCCAATATAGGAAGTAATCTAAAGAGAAATAAACCTAAACTAGGAAACACAATCTTTATACTAATTAGGAATAAACCTAAACTAAGGAACATAATATTTACTTTAATTACAAAGATTGCAACACATAGTTTTCCAAATTTCTACGTTTCTAATGTCATTTAATTTGTTGCTTGTGGGGCTGGGAGGGACAATCACTGAGCCCAAGGCTGAACTATGTACTTTGGCCCCAACTTTCTGATAGTTAGCAATCAGCTTTGTATCTATAGATATTTATACGCGTTTCGCACAGCTAACACCTGCTTCTGCAGCTAAAGAAAAGGTTAATTTTTACCCTTTCCTTTGATATACCATGTCACGTTTCATTCTTAACTTTTTGTATTTCCCTCTCTCCTCTTTTAGTTTAACTCTAGTTTCACTATTACTGAACCTCAAATTTCATGGTGATAGACTTTTTCATTTATGCTTCTGGTCCCATTTTTCTTTCATTTCATTTTGTTCTCTCCCTCCTCCTTAAGATAATATGGCATTATTGGCCTGATATGTTAAATGCATTTTTACATGAGCATATGCATATTATAATTGTTATGTTATAATTAAGCTAACAAAACTGAATGTGAAGTAGTATTGCTACCTCGATACAATAGCTGAACTCATAATTTTCATAATTTTCCTCAGGGATTTTTTTTTGAAAGATTTTCCTCAGGGATTATTGATTATATTATATTTGATATTTTGCCAAACATGTTATAGGTTTTTATTGCCAACATTGGGGATGCTAAAGCAGTTTTAGCCAGATCATCTGAAGCTGGTGGATCACAAAATGACCCAGATTGCAGAAGTACACTAAAGGCCATTGTTTTGACAAGGGAACATAAAGCCATATATCCACAAGAACGTGCACGAATACAGAAGGTACAAACTGCAAATGTTCAATTTGAAATTATTTTCCACTTCATATGGTTCTCCCTCTCTTCTTGAAATGCATCATAATGATTAGGTGAAGTTAGGGGAATTAAAGTTGAAAGATGAATAGAGAAACGCATTGCCTGGTGGAACAGTATAAGACATTAAGTTACAACTTGCAACAACAAATTTCGAGTTTGAGTCTATAGCAAAAGTTCAAGGATTGGAGCACTGATTCGATTCATTGAATTTGTTGCAATCATGTCATGACACTGAAATATAATATAGTCAAAGTTTGACAAATGGATGCTGGTTGCCACTGAGTTTGTTATGCCTTCTGCTTGCTTGACCAAATTTAAATAGTATTGGGTGTGGGTCAGCTTGGTTGGTTTCAGTTTCAGTCTACAAATTCTACTGAAATATTGTTGTCTTTTGATTTAGTTTAACTTTTCCTGTGTCCATATATGCTTGAAAATCTTTTCATCAAGTCTAAGAATGCTATCCTGAATCTTTTATATTTCAACCCATTTTGTTTGTCTGTTTTTAACTGTTATATCTCTCTCTTGTGGTCTGAAATTATGACTTATTGCTTTGGACATTTAATATCACTGTAAAGTTTATTATCACAAAGATCTTGCATAGAGCTTGAAGAGAGATGTTAATTCAAACTGATTTAACAATGTACAAAAGAAAGAAAAAGAAGAAAAGAAAGAGTAATCCATGATGGATAATGAACGCAAATGACAGAATTAGCAACCAGCCTAATATAAAGCGTTTGGCAGCAGTGGTGGGGGAGGGAGAGTGTATTGGCTGGTGGGAAGAACTATAAGAAAAGGGAAAAAAATGGTGATTTGGTCAGTTCTTGAACTTTGAATAAATGTCTAATTTAGTTCTTCAACTTTAATTATCACCGAATCATTTAAGCTCTACAATTCTAATGTAAAATATTCGAGTCAAGGTTAATCATCTTTAGATGATGAAACTGAGTTTACAAATAATGAAGTGTTCTTTCCTTCAAAGATCCTATGAGATGTTATGCTGAATTGGATGTAAGATTTGTTCAACATGTATCCAATACACAGTGGGCACAAAGTATGCCTAATAAAACATACATCTTTTAAATACATATCATACAATTTTTTAGGTCTCATGTAAAAACCCATATACAAACAGAAAAAAAGTAACAAATTTTCCTTTGTTTTGTTCTATTTTTTGTAATACTTTACAGTATGTTATATAATTTACTCTACCTTTATTTTCTTTTTTGATTTTTCTTCTCATTAAGATAAGCACCTTAGATCAAGTTTGATTAAAACTACAATAAAGGTGGGAAAAGAAGTAAGAAACAGTTTTGATTTCAACAAATAGATTGATTTTTGTTTGATTAATTGAATTAATTTTTGTATTATTTTACCATTGCCATTATACTTTGTTATCCTACTCTTTAAATTATTATGATCTCTCATGCCTGTATTGTGCTTATATTCTATGTTCATCTGCATGTATCATTGGAGTAATACAAACTGATGATTATCGAACAAGCATTCTGTTATTCCCAGGCTGGCGGTATTGTAAGTTCAAATGGGCGATTACAAGGTCGTCTTGAAGTTTCAAGGGCTTTTGGGGATCGCCAGTTCAAGAAGGTTCAAAGTGCTTTCTTTGTGCATAATTGACACTGCAGTTTCATATTGGCAGAATAATTGAGGTTTCTAGGAGGGTGCCAAAAATTTATTGTTTTTCATGCCTGATATTTGCATTTGTTCATGGATTGTTAGACAAGAAGGAAACTGTCTAGAAGATGAATAACTGAAAATGAATGAGAAATCTAGTTCTATTGCTCGTGCCTTTTTTTTTTTTTTTTGGGGGGGGGGGGTTTTTTTCTTCTTTTTTGGGGGGGGGGGGGGAGTTTGGGGGTGTGGAGGGAGAGAGAGAGAAGGGAGGGGGGTGGGGAGGTTGTTTTAAAAGATAAAACAAAGGTAGGATGTAGAATAGATAAATAAAAAAATAATATAATAAAATCACAAATTAATGATTAAATAAAGAAGTCACTAATTAAAAATAATATTTACATTAATAACATATAAATAAATTGAGTAAATCAATAAATTTAATATAGTACCACATAAAAGAATTAATAAATATCTACATTAAAAACTATATAGAAGAAAAATATTTTATCATTCCAAAAGGGGTGTGGAGGGAGAGAGAGAGAGGGAGGGGAGGTGGGGGGTTGTGGTGGTAAGGTGTGAATAGTTAAATAACTATTTAATCCCTTATGTTTGGTCCTAATTATAATTTCATTCCTCTTATTTGGTAAATATATTTATTAGTCCCTAAGATTTATTTCCATTAAACTATTGAGTTTTTTCATCCAAAAAGTACCATTTTAGTGGTTAATACCCTAGAATATTGACTATATGGTACTTCATAATTAATATAGCATATTGCTATATTGAAACTTGGATAAATGGGGTATAGAGTAATAAACTTCTGTTACAACTTGATGATGCACTAAGGAGTTGACTGGTCATAGATGGTTGCTTTTAATCAAATGGAAGATATGAACAAGATAAGAATAAATGAATTTTCTTTTGGTTCAAAGATTAGAGCGCACTGTGAATTTGATCAAGTATCTATCATCTCTTTGTTACATTTTTGTGGTCCATTTTTGCATGTTTTATCATAAGGCGAGAAACCCATAAGTATACCTGTAGTCAATAATGTGTTGCTATCTAAATGAGCATGTGAGTTTCAGGTGGGTGTGGTGGCCACTCCAGATATTCATTCTTTTGACCTGACAGACAGAGAACACTTCATCATTCTTGGTTGCGATGGTCTATGGGGGGTACGTATCTCATGTAATATCAAGTCTTTGTGTTCTTTGTAAACATGATAATTCTTTTCAGATTATTTCAGGTATTTGGGCCAAATGATGCTGTTGAATTTGTTCAGAGACTATTGAAAGTAAGATTACATTTCACTTAGAACACTACTTGATTGTATATAGCTTGCACTAGCCAATCGAGCTATTGCTTTCATTTACACAAATAATATTTTCCCCTTTAAGTTGCTCTTATTAAGGGCATGCAAGGGTTTTGATATACAGAAATTGCTAGATCACGCCAGTTTTTCTCTTCAATTTACAAATGACTTGCATAATATTCAAACTTCACAGCCCCAATTACGGGGAAAAAAGGACAAACATAACATCCATTAGCATAAAATTTGTTTGTCAACTGTCACCTGAGTTGAGGAAATTCTGGTCTACTTTTTCTCATGGTGTTAGTTGTAAAATGGAGATGGAAAATGTTTCTCAATGCTTTGCTTAATCTGGAACTAGATTAAGCTTATTCTTTTAGTAATAATTTAGTTGCAGTGTTGATCTTAAATGATTAAATACAAAGCTTGCATATGTTGGACAGGAGGGCTTAACTGCTACAGCTGTGAGCCGCCGTCTTATAAGGGAGGCTGTGATAGAGCGGCGCTGCAAAGACAACTGCACTGCTATAGTTATTGTTTTCAAGCACAGGTGATATGGATCAACCATCACTCAACCATGGAGCTCAAGGGAGCAAGGAGAACAACATAGGAGATCCATTAGTGTTTCCTAGTGGGCCAATTACAAGCCCCATTGTGTTCTTCCTAGCTGGGCCAATTACAAGAGTTCAAGCAAAGAGATATCGGGGCAGCCATATCCTATATTATGTTCAAGCCCAATTACAAAGGCTATCCTGTGTCGGCATTAACACGTCGTTATGTGGAACTTTAAGGCAACCTAAGCTTCTTCACAAATGTTGGAAGCATGTGACTGATTGACGTGTTAGCACACTCTAGCCATGCTAATATGTCAAGGGCTGTGCGCGCTGGACCGTGTTCTTATTATCTTTGTTGACTTGTTATTGGTACTAATTACTATGTCAAGGGAATATTTCGGGCTTATAGTGTTTGTTTTAAGTTAGTTTTGGGCTATTATTATTTGCATGCATACTGCCCATATTAACGTTGTACTTATTTTGGTGTTGGGAAACTGAATTCTCTTTTGAGTGTATAGTTAGACCCATGTGTTTCTGGTCATTAGCGGCAGCACTTAGACTTAAATACTCTTCTTTAAATTTAGGGTTGTTGAGGCATTTAACATGCCTCTTGATGAAACGGACGTTTTTGGCATAATTTGAATCAACAAGCCAGAATCTTCCATGCTCTATGCATGTTCTTTCTTATAGGATGCACTGTGGAATTTTTGCTATCTCTAATTGCATCAACAATTAAGTTAACTATATCAAATTCATTTTAGGGTTTATTTGTCTTTTTGCCTCGATTATTGGTGTTCCGTTTTTATAAAACGTGGGGTGCCATAGAGCGTTTTCATCTCGATTCTTGGTGTATTCCGTTTTCATTATACGATGGGCGGTGCATCAGAGGCGAACTTCACATCTCATTCCTCTTGCATTCGATCTCGGTCTCCCGCTAATCACTTTGGTATCAGAGCCAAATCAAAGTTTTGGGGTAATTCTGTTATCTTAGTTAGGAATTTGAGTTCTTATTCTAGCTTGGATTTCCTTTGATGTTTCTTAATACCTTGCTTTTCATTCTAGATCTGAGATTCCTTTTACGATTCTTACTTGGATCTTACTATCTATATCTTTTAGATGGTTTTTGGTCTGAGTTTTTTCTTTAGGGATTTTATGTTGATTTGTTTGTTTTATTAAAAAAAACAACAAAAAACACAAAAAACAAACATCAATATGATTAACGTTATTAAGATTTATAGTTATATAAATACCAAATCAGAGATTTGTTTCTGTCTTCTCTTGAATTTGGTTGATTAAAAAAAAAAAACAAAAAAAAATAGAGGGTAAGCTCAATCTTGTATTACAAGTCATTACCTAACCTAACATCTGAAATTTGGGAAGACAAACAAATTCCATTGTGGTTACCTAACAACTTTAAGTGAAATTGGGAAGGAACACACAAAAAAAGTCAATTGTTGGAACCATAAATATAGTCTACCTACTACAATTGAATTGCAGGAAGACACAACCATCCCACTTATAACACCTTTGTTAAAGAGCCTTAACCCGTACCTAATTTGGGTACTTCTGTGGAGTTAAAGTCGAGGAACAATAAAAAAAGCAGCCGTCTGCCTACAAGTACTCTGCTCACCGAGAACTCAAGAGCCTTGCTACAGTACCTTAAAAAAACATTTTTTGGTTTTTCCTTTGTTTGACATTGCTAGTGGTGACTTGTGTGCATTCACTCCTGACGCCTAGAAACCAAGGTGTATCTCTCGCGCTCCCAATAAATTCTGGGTGTTTGCCTTCCTAGTAAGTGACTTCGGGGCAGGTCTCAAACCCATGTTACCACACTAGGATCATCGCGTCAATTCCGAGACCCTTACTCTAAAAGTTGTGTAGCCTTTCTGATATCCTAAGCTTTCTGCTTTCTGTAGATTTGCACCATACCGTACTACGCAATCTGCGAAAGCCAAATGCGAGACTGACTGTCTACAGCGTATATGGCATTTATGTCTATATTGCTTAATTGTTAGGGTTCCTGTATTTGCTTGTAGCAGTCCCATAGCACCTCATGTATCTACGATCAGTCCACCAAGTACAAAGATCTAGATTTTCCAGTCCGTACTTGTTGTATCACATCCGAATGTTATCCCCCCTAATTTGTTATGTGTATTATGTTTCCTGCAATACCTATGACCGCTCGAAAATATGTTCTCTCTTAGGTAGGCCAGGTTTATTACAATTCAGTAGATTCCGTCTAGACCAAAGCGGAATGATATGTAGACGTTTATGAGTTCGGTAATATAGGAGCCCTCACCCACCAATCTACTGAAGTAAACCGCCTAATTGGGCGAACAGACAGTCGTTTGGACCCAAGGAAGCTCGAACGGGTATTCAGCAGGAAGTGTAAACACGTCGGAGGAGTGAACAAAAGTAACAGTGCATTATAAAACTGCACTTAAAGCTCACATCCTTTTTCCGGCGTTGAATATATTTCCTTCTGATCCTTGTCCCTAACGCCAACATGAGTCCTATGCGCACCATCTTAGACGACAGTAAATGAAACAGGTGACTGAGTAAAACAACTCTGCGTGCGATGGAAACTGCACAACATATAAACGAAGCAATCCCTTCAAACTAAAAAGTTGTTCATGGAATCTAATCCCGATACCCAGAATGTCAGGAAAGTCGAAAACCTCCAATCACCAGTTCATTTCAGAAACCATGGTCGCGAAAGCTCAGCATATGCCAAGGGTGTGCAGGCTTCCCAGATGCATCTCAAAGTTAGAGCACAAACAAGCTATCGAGTACACCAAGAGTGATCTCATATTCCAAGTTATTTATAATGGGACTATCAACCACCCTCACTCAACATGATAAAAGGTCGTGAAAGAGAAACTTCCGATAGATGTATACTCAAGGTCTCTAAAGTCTCAATTGATGGGTAGGCCAATCGAAGAACGGTTGAAACTGAGGCACAGCAATCAAGATAGGAACGAGCGGAAAATCCCGAAAATCCTCATTGCGCAGACCTCATCGACCTTAAGTGCCCTGTGAAGGTGCACAAAGCTTGGAGTAGGTCACCGATGGATGACAGAAGGTTGAACATTCTTTTAGAGCATGATTTAATTCGCGGTAGCAAGTGCACGCAGCAACGATCCTCATTAGTCGGTCTACTTCAGGACAACTGTTGTGCAGCCGGGTGTATCAAGAGACTATGGGGTTGGTCATGTAGAAGGTTTACTCGTGGTTGGATGGGGGCGCAAAGAACACATTGATATACTATAACTAAAAAAAAATGAGTATGGATGGAAGCCCGTGAATATCAGGCCAGGGCGAGGTGTTCGATGGGAATCTGCCATAGGGCAGGAGGAATGATGACGACAGCCAATGGGAAGAAACGTCGATGTACGTGGAAAAGGCCATGAAAAGAAAGTATCATATCACATGCAACACGGAAAACGATAGTTGTGTGTCTAGTTCTATTAGTACGGTTATAGGAAGAGCGTATATAAACCGACGCGAAACAGACAACCATACTATAGAGACAGAAAAATAAGGTCTATGCAAAGGTGAGAGAGGCGCGGAGTGGAATGAGTACACTATAAAAGGAAGTGGAGAATTTGACACCATTGGCAAAAGTAGTCTCGCTAGAATTTGGACAATTCCCAGTATTCCTAACTTGTCAACCACGATATGTCAGTTCGTAGTGGGTGGATTAAGCAGCTGTGAATATAAGCTATAGCGCTGTCCATAGTGGCTTAGGAGAAACATTAAGCAGTCCTACCGAACAAACATGTATACAGTCATCTGACTATAGCCAATATGGAATGAGAGTGAAGACCTATACATGGGCTCACTTGAAGCCTACGACAGGGCACGATAATCAAGTGAAAGGGAAAGTCTAACCAACGTTTCCAACGCATTACTTTTGGAACCACATGGTCCCTAAAAATGCGAGAGAGAGAGAAAAAGGAAAAGAAATTACCGTGGTTCTCCTACGTTTGCTCCAAATCAAGTAATCATCGACTGATTTCTGTGCCTGATCGAGTTATAACTGAGGTATGTCACATAATTAAATATATTGAAATATCGCTCGAAACAAACTCTTAAACAAAATGAGATAACTTACCGGTTCGACCTTCCCTTAGTATACCCCTGCAACGATAAAGAGAAAAATTGGTAATACGCCCATCTTTAAGTAGTATTTACATGAGTATGAAAGGACTGACTTGCGGTCTCCCTATTCGTCTAAGTACGTTGTGCTGTGGATGTTGATGCTTGTTAAGAATAGGTGTGACACAAGAATAGGATAATGTATTAATAAACATATTAAATGATACTGATAATTATAGAATGTTCACAAATGACTGTCGAAAAATAGTGTATAAGATTAAGATGTGGTAGTTTATGCTCTCCATATATAGTGCAAAACATGAATGTTCTTGTAACATTGGATTCCTTTCCAGACACAAAAACCAAATAGAGAGAAGGTCAGAACAAAGGATTATGAGAGCCTGATACACATGCGTCTGCTATGGTCTACTATGCTGACTGAGATGTGTGGAGATAAAAATCTATCAACTGTGAGGTCTGTTTAGACGCAACGCTGTCTTCCGAGGTATGCGTAGCTTCAAGGAAGGAGAAGCCAGGTCCTTCAATCGGGAACCAGACAGACGGCGCATTTCAGACGAAAGCTTCACTCAGGAATATTCACATTCGCCACTGCTTCTTACATGGAAAAGTGTGCTTGCTTTTTTGATGGGAGGTAGTTGCACTAAATTGTTGCTAGTGCTGGTATGGTGACATAGTCTGGATCTTGGCATGTCTTAAACATCCTAACCTTATTAGATTAACAATGGATTGAATGATTGGTGGAGAGGTGAAGGGTGACACGCAAGGGTTAGTGTCGATAGATGCCGTCCGACAATATTCCTCCATGGTGAACGGCTAACGGCACGCTGAGATAATTTTTGTGATGGTCATCGTTCGTCTACGATGCAGGGAGAAAAAGGCGGCTCTTCTGATTGTTTGGGACGAGGCCATAGTACTATGCAAATCGAAAGGCGACAGGTGACATGATGTGGGTTTTTACCCCGGTACTCTGTGGT